GATGCTGGTTACAGAGAGATGTGTGAGGCCCAAGAAGTGCCTTATAAATTGGGATTGGGCTTTGGAGTCAATGGGAGTAATGTTGGCTGGGTCAAGGTAGGAGTTCCCCAGGGGGCCTGGCACTGCCCTGGGGTGTGGCCCTCACTGTCTGCCTCCCTAAGCCTGTGGTGACTTCTCTCTGGGGTGGGAGGGGCAGAGCAAAGAAGTGGGGAAGGTGCTCGGGCCCATTGCCATCCTGCAGCTCTTCCTGGCAATCCTTTGGAAGTGGACTCTCATTCTGAAGGGACTGTTATAAAACCTGACCTTTTCTCCCATTGCTGGTTTGAAAACCCAGCTTTCTGGGGCTTGGAATGATCAGGGGCGAAGAAGAAAAGAAAATTGTATTTTGGTCAAAAAAGCCAGATTGTCTGCTGCTGAGCTGTGCACCCCCAGGCCACAGAGCTCCCAGGTGTGGGCACCTTCTGAGGGCTGGTGGTGGAGGAGAGCAACGCTCTCCGGGCCCAAACCCCTATGTGTGTCCCCAGCTGAGGAAGTGGAAGAGTCAGCTCTCGTCTCCTTCCCAGAAGTGGCATTAGGGATCCTGCTCACAGTGGGTGTGTGTGTGTGAAGGTGTGTGTGGTTTATCGGCAGAGGTGCCCAGCAGGTGTCTGCAACCTAGGCACTGAGTGGGAGGGTTCAAGACCAGGAGGGGACAAGGTGGTCACCATCTCCCTGGGTCACAGCCCTTCAGTTTTCTATCCCTTGAGGAGTCCTCTTCCAAAGCTGGGCTGAGGGCTTAGCTGAGTAGCCTCAGGATATTGAGGGGCTCCCAAAAGGATGGGCTGGGGTGGTGGTAAGGACACTTTAGCCCTAGGGTCCTTTTCCTGGCAAGAAGACTGTAGTTGGGGATTGGTTGGAAACTGTGCTCAGGGCCGAGGGTTTTCAGAAACTTGACTTAGTAGGCAGTTTAGGCTGAGGATGTGGTGAAGGGTGCTCCTGGAGCAAGGGCCCTGGGATCCTTCCCAAGGATCTGTGTGAGGTCTGGGGCAGAGGCCTGTGTTGGAGAGAGAGGCCTTTTTTGCCCAGCCATGCTGACCTCCTGTGCTGGTGTAGAGGGAGACACTGTGATAAGGAGAGTGGTTGGGGAGGGGTGGCCAGAGGCTCACTCCTGAGTGGCATTCAGCACATATCTGGCTCTTTTGGGGGACATTGAATTTAGGAGGTCAGATGTGTGGTCTCTTGATCCCCCCATGTTTCTGGAAGCTGCTCCACATATCTCTTGATGGATCCCACTTTCCCCCATCTAGGGTTTTGAGACATCCCCAGGATACCTCTGCCCTTTCTTCTCCTAAGATTCCTGGCGGAAGGTTCTGGGTGGCCCCAGTTCCCTTCTCTGGCTGGGCTTGGTTGGTTCTGGGGGGTGGTGAAGAATAAGGGACAGTTGGTGAAAGGATCAGTCCTTTGCAGAATGTGCCCCTGCCCCATCCCAGGGGCCAGTTGGTAGAGTGGGGAAAGCCCTTGCTTTTGGAATGGGAACCTCCCTAGGATTGTGTAGAGACCATTCATTGTGGCTTGTGGCCCCACATGCAGGACAGGTGGGGTGCGTGTTCTTAGTGTCCCAGTTCCTGAGACTAATATACTGATTTTTAAGCTTGCTGCGGATTCTGAGCTGACTGAAGGCTGAGGATACCAGGACGCCCCATTCTTAGTACCCCTGGGGCGGTGTAGTCAGGTGAAAGATGAACCACCCACTGGAACACTGGGGAAAAGTCAGTGGAGATCCCAGGCCAGGAGGGGGCAGCAGGTGCAGGTGGTGGTGGTGGGGTTGGCTCAGCTGCTCCTAGTGGCCCAGAGGCACCCGGGTCCCGCTCAAGGATGTAGGAATCTGCTGAAGTGGAGAAGGAAAGATGCCACCTCAGCTGGTGTGGAGGACACGTCTCCAGCTGGTGCCTGGGCTGATCCCGCTGCTGTACCTCCCACTCTGCACTGGCTTCTTCTGTTAGGTTCTTGTCTCAGTGTGGCCACAGCTCTTCCGTTTCTGGGGCTGAGGTGTGGTCAGTGTGAGAAGGAAGCATCTTTTGCTCGGGTCCCTAAGGCCTTCTGCAGCCCTGCCTGCCCCTGTTCCTCTCCTCCGCTGTCTCCTTATGGGGTAGGCCTCCTGATCCTGGTCCTCTGGGAGTGATTCCTTTTCTCTCTTGGCTCTGGGGAGTGACAGGCTTGCTGTGCAGAGATCTGCCTCTAGGTGTCGCTGTCCCCCTGCAATAGCTCCCCCCTGATCAGGGCCTCCTAGGGGGAAGGCTGGGAGAGTGGCTGCTTTGGGCAGGGATGGGGGATTCTGCGGTATTCTGAGGTGGGGGGGGCAATGACCCAGGATTTTATTCTATTTTGGGGTGGAAAGGAGTGGAGAAACCTCCAAAATTATTCTTTGGGCCTTGGAAAAAGCAGTGGTGGCTCTGACCATGGTATAGGGCTTTTCTGGGGCAGAGTCTGGAGTTAGGGGCAGCAAGGACAGGGAGGTGGGAAGATGTCCACAAATGGAGGGAACCATTTTGGAAGGTTGGCTTTGAAAGGGACAGGCCAGCCTCTCCCTGCCTGTTACCTCTAAATCTTCTTCCCCAGGTTCCTCCCATATGAGGGCACTGGGGATAGGGACAGAGGGTGGACTGATGGGTGATGGTTCAGTTTTGTAGAAGCAAGGCTCAATCTGCCAGTCAGGGCCTGAAGGAGGGAAGTTTCATCCTTTTTTCAATTGATTTATTATTTGGTTTTTGAAAGGAAGACAAAAAAAAAATAAAAGAAGTGGAGAGGGCTTCAGGGGAATGAGGGGAGGAGAGGAAAGAAAGGCAAGAGAGAGAGAGAAGGAGGTGAGAAAGCCCGGTACTCCAAGAGAGAAGGTGATGAGGCTGCGAGGAGGCAGAGAGCGAGAGAAGCAGAGATGGAGGTGGGAGAGGCAGGTGTGGGGCAGGGGAGCGGAGGGATGGGTTGCTCCTTGGCTCACCTAGCCTGTTCTTTCGGAGGGGTGGGGTGGATATTGATAGTGGCAGGGAGGTTTTCAGACCTCTGTCTGGTTGGAAGTTGGACTGGAAGCTTTGGGGCACTGGGTCCAAAGGGGGTGCTCTTCCTTGGACAGCCTCCACCACAGGGTTAGTTAGGCTGGTCTATTCTCGCTTCTCACAAAAGTCTAGCAACTCAGAGTGAGGAGACTAGTGTCAGAGGGGCCGTTCCTACCTCTGTGTGTGATCTGGAGTTGGCGTCTCCCTTCTGGGGCCTCAGTTTCCCTAGAGTAAGATGGGGGTGCTGAACCACAGAGTGTGGATAAGGCCCCGAGAGGTTCTGAGAGTCATGACTTTCTGGTACTTTCCAGGCTTAGCACAGTGCTTGGATGGGCCTGTGGCTAGAAGTTTGTAGGGGTCCTGGGTGAAGTTCAGGTGAAATTCCTCTGCACCCCAACAAGCCCACGTGGTGACAGTCTTTCTGGATCTGTGGCGTCTTGGACTGCCTTTGGTCCTGAGCCTGGCTCCCAGGCCCAAGGCCTGTGCTGAGGAAGAACACAGCGCCCACCCTGGAGCCAGGGAGAATGATGGCCTGAAACCCTTGGGTCTGAGGAGGGCTGTTCCACTGAGTTGGCCTTGGTGTGCTTTGGTGTAGATGGGCCAGCGGTCCCCAGGAGGGCCCAAGTCCAGGCCTGCATGTCGAGTCAGAGATTGTGGTGGCCTTCATTCATGCTTGTCTTCCCTCCCCACCAACCAGACGAGACCCTCCGCTCTTTGGCCAGCCCTTCCTCCCTGCAGGGCCCCGAGCTCCACGGCTGGCGCCCCCCAGTGGACTGTGTCCGGGCCAATGAGCTGTGTGCAGCGGAATCCAACTGCAGCTCCCGCTACCGCACGCTGCGGCAGTGCCTGGCCGGCCGGGACCGCAACACCATGCTGGCCAACCGGGAGTGCCAGGCGGCCCTGGAGGTCTTGCAGGAGAGCCCGCTCTATGACTGCCGCTGCAAGCGCGGCATGAAGAAGGAGCTGCAGTGCCTGCAGATCTACTGGAGCATCCACCTGGGGCTGACCGAAGGTGAGGCCCTGGGCCCCAGGGAGGGCGTGTGGTGGGCCAGGGACTCGGGGGCTTGGTGAAGGACCAGTGGGCCCACCCTATGTCTGCCCACCAGTAGAGCGGAGACCTCGGAGGAAGTAGGCACCCCACGTAGGAGGGCAAGGGTGCCAGCGGAGGAGGAGGTGGAATAGAACGGGGAGCTGGAGGGACAGAGGAAGGGCAGGATGGGGGACTCAAGCAAGGACAGTGTGCAGTGGCCCCTTTTCAGTGAGAAGTTGAGGTGAGAGGTGCCAAGATGAAGAAGTGACAACCAGGAGAGGGGCACGGTGAGTCACATGTTGCCTGGCCTGCCACTTCCCTGTCACCTCCCCTGCTGCTAGGCCCAGAGCCTTGTTCCCAGGAGGTTGGCCTTCATGGGGCTTCTGGACCTCATGGCCACTTACACACCTTCTCCAGGTCTCCAGGCAGGTGTGGGCAGCAGGCCCTACGTCCCTTGGCAAGACTGCTGGAGGCAGAACCTGAGAGCCCCCCCCTCAGTGACACCCCTTATTTGCTCCATACTTGAATGTGAGGAAGTTGCATGTGTTTTAGGGGGCGGGTTTGACTGGAATTTAATTTGTTAATTCAGCAGTATACGGAACACTGGAGAACACTGGAGAGTTACTGCCTGCTGGGTGTGGGAGTCATGGAGAAAGCTGGTGTGGCCTCCGCCTTCACCGAGCTCATGGTCAGGGGTGGGGGGCTTCTGTGTTGGGAAGTCACAGGGTGCAGAGGTAGCACCTTGGAGGGCATCTCACCCTATTACAAAATCTAAAGGGCCTCCTGGGAGAGGCAGCCTCCAAGCGGAGAATGAAGAGTGCGTCAGGGTTACAAAGGGAAGGTGTAGGAGGAGTGGGGTGGGTGGGTGGAGGGAGCAGCACGGGCAGGACCCCGATGAGAGTCTGCACCCCATGCAGAACTGACGTGATGGGACAAGGTAGAGGGGGGCACGGAGCACGAGATCTGATAGATCTGGGGCAGCAGGGGACCCCACAAGGTTTGGAGGAAGACCGCTGGATGACCAGGTCTGTGCTTCTGTGGTTTTGGTGAGGAGAGTCACCAAAGGTTTGGTAAGGACTGTTCAGGAGCCATAGGAGACACAGGCCAGGAATAATGTGAGGGAGCGCCACAGCAGCAAGAAAGGGGAGGAGGGAGGCAGAGCTTTTCAGAAGGTAGGATCAACAGCTCTCCGCCACCGCCACCGATTGCCCTTGAGAGGGGGAGGGAAGAGAGAACTCAAGGGGGCACCTGGTTTCCGGTCTTGGCCAAATGGGTGGGTGATGGGCTCCTCAGAAGCAAAGGACTTGAGTGAGAGGAAGGCGGTGGGGGTGGTGAGTTTATTTGGGGCACGTGTCTCTCTCGTTGGCCATTCCCCCACACAGGCAGATCTGGAGTGCAGAGGCAGTGGGGCTGGAGAGAGACTTAGGAGTGGATATCAGCCTCCCGCACTCATTGGAACCCAGGGAGTAGGGGCAACCATGGTGGGAGGAGGGCAGTGGCAGAGTCCTGAGGCCATTGGCCCATTGACTTTCAAAGAAGGGAACTCTTCAAGGGCAATTGAGAAGGCTCAGGGGAGAAGTCAGAGGACCAGTGGGAAGGCATGCAGGGGCTCATTGTCAGAAGGAAGGACTGTCAACAGTGGCACACACTTTAGGTCAGGTGGGTGCATTGTCTCTGCCACCCTTGGGGTAGGCTTCTTAGGTGGATGCTGCAGGCAGGAGCCTGGTTAGCTCATGGATGGGAACAGGGGTGGACAACGTTTTTCAGATTTTTGGTGTATTTATACCTATGTACCCGTGTATGTGTACATATACAAGTACATACATTTTAAAGATAGGTGAGAGGGTGGAATTTAAATTTTGGGTAGGACTGCAGTTGTGGAGACAGGAGGGTCTCCCTGAAGGGTGCAGAGGGTCGGCCCAGGGCCAGGAATTAGCCTTAGCTCTGGAAGGAGCTCCCTCTGGGTGCAGGAAGAGAAGGAGGATTCCAGGTGCAGGTGTGGTGGCTGGAGAAAAAGGGATCCCTGAGTGGCCTCTAAGAGGGCTCAGGTGTACTCTGAACGCTGGAATAGGAAGTGCATACAGCTATGAATAATATCACTGTCATTAACCACAGAATAATTCCTCATGCATCAGCGGCCACTTCTCCCTAGCAACCTCGATCCCTGGAACTAGAGGAAGCAAAGAGGGACTGCTGACCTATGGCACGTCCCCTGTGTGCACGAGACAAGGAACTGTTTACCCAGAGCCCGACTCTGGAAGGAAGACTCCTGGTTCTGGAACAGTAGAGTGGCTTTGCTTCTTGTTTTCTTGCTGGCAGCCTTCACTTTCAACCTAGAGGACCGTGGGCAGCTGGTTGGGTGGATGTGCTGGGGTCGCAGAGTGGACAGAGGAGGGGACGGAAGCACTGCTGCCGGAAGAGCGTGGGGACCTCCTGGTGCTTTTAGCACAAATGGCCCTGCTTGTCTCAGTGGCTCTCTTGGACTTCAACGCCTTCACAGGCTTTGGGAGGCCGGTGCTTTTGGAGCCTGGAGAGTGAGGCATTCCTCGTGTCGTGAGAGTGGTGGGCGTGATGCTGGCGCACTGCGCTTTGTGCTGCTGTGGGGTCTTCAGGACCCTTTAGACCTGGGAATGTCTCACTGCAGGTGGCCGTCTCTGGTTCTGGACCTTGAGGTAGTGATTTTGTTCATTTACTCAATGACCGTCTGTCAAGTACCTAGTGTGTGCCTCAGAGGATGGTGGCCCTGCAGGAGCTGTGGCTCCTGTCCTGTGTCCACCCTGACAGATTTTCCTTGGGACCTATCCAGAAAAGCACCTCCAACTTGCCCCCTTCCTCAGAAGCCTGCCTCCTCTCCCCAGGGGGTGCCACCTCCTTTTGGGTCTCGGGCTAGATATCATTCTGGGCGGGGTTTGACAGGGGAAGCCAAGAGGCTTTTGAATAAGTCATTCACATGTCCCTCTGAGTGACAGAATCTACCTGAGAGTCAACTGGTCCCAGCTGGGGTAGAGAGGTCTCCCTGGGGAAGAACCTCCTCCCTGCTCCTTAGGAACACTTAGTCGCCTGCTTGCTTGGGCCTGGGCTGAGGGGAGGGCAAGACTCTCCAGAGAGAGGGGAGGTGTGTGTGTAGGTTGTATTTCCTTCTGATTCCAGTGGATTCCAGGCTTCTGGGCCGTGTGGATGGGTGGAGCCCACAGGCCTTTGCTCTGCCTTTTTCCTCTATCTGGGCTGAGCTCGCGGTACCTGGCCAAGGCCCTCAGCCTGTGGGGACAGCTGGCGGTGGCAGTGGAGGAAGGGGAGCAGGTTGTGGCAGGCATGTGGCCTCTGAAGGGATGGCCTCAGAGCTCCCGGAGTCTGAACTGCAGAGGACCTGGACATGGCTTGGGCCACCCCTTGATTGGCAGCCACAGTGAGGTGGTCGTGGAACCCAGGTTTGGACCCAGGGTCCCTGGCCCTTCTCCAGGTCTTTTCCCACTGCCCTGGGGGAGATGGCATGGCCTGCTGCCTCTTTCCTCTCTGTCATTACCACCTCCAGTATTTACACAGTGGGGCTGTCCCTGTTGGTGGCGTGGGAGTTTGAAACCAGGTTCTTGCCTTTTCCAAAGGCAATACTGAGATCCAAGGTGTCGGATCCTTTGATCGTGAAGAGCAGAGGGCTCTTCCGTGTGTCTGTTCCCAGGATCTGACATCGGTGGCCCAGGCCTGGGATTTCCCACTGGTGCATTCTGCTGTAGGAACAGGCAACTTAAATGAATGGACTTGAAGAAGATGGCCCTCCAAACTGGACCTGGGGGAGGCCGTTTCTCTCAGGGATGCCCTTTAGTCAAGGCTGCTGGTTGACCCGTCCCCAGATACAGAGAGTGCACCATCAGTGCTAGTTGAGAGCCCCTGGTCTCAGTAACGCTGTCATTTGGAGGCTGTGTGCATGGTGGTGATGCCCTTGGCTTCTGGAGCCACCTACCTGGGTTTGAAGCCTGGATCTGCTGCTTACCAGCTGCATGGCATTAGCAACCTTGGGCAAGTTGCTGGATGCCTGTGTCCCTTGTTCCTTGTCAGTGCAATAGAGGGGGCAATAGTGGCTAGCTCACAGAGTAGTGAAGAGGAGGGAGTGAGTGAAGGTGTGGAAAGCACATTCTGGGGAGTGGCACGTGGGAGGCACAGTGACTTTAATTATAAAAGGGACTCCTGAGCTCTTCTCTGGTTGGCCTCAGTGCACAACCATGGCTGCCGGCCCCTCCACTGGGAGTTCCCTGGGTGGGGGAGGACATGGAGATCATGCAGGCTGCTGATAGGCTGAAAGCCCAGTGGGCGGGGACTGGACAGGGTCCATGGAGAGCAAGCTGACTGGATAGGGTCAGGCCGTGATTCCAGAGGAAACCCACTGCGCGTGCTAGTGTTGTCCAGCATGCAGGGTGCTCCTCTGGGGTGAGCTGCAGGCAGAGGCTGCTTCACCAGAGGTGGGGGGTGCTTCCTCCTTGTGCTGGCCCTGTGCCCTCTCCTGGGAGCCTGGGGACTCAGCAGTGGCTCTCTACACGGGGCTAGCTGCACCTCCAGTCCTGGCCTCAGAGTGGCCTCCTCCTATAGGACCATTCCCAGGCCCCTCTTCTGGGTGGGTAGGCCTCCCTGTAGGTGGCCCCTGGATGCTGCCCCACCTGGGCTCTCCATGGGCAGGGGGTGCCTGCCTGTGGCACTGGGCCAGGTGGGGGGGCAGTGTGTGAGCTGTGGGCTGCCCCTACCTGCTGCCCCTCACCGCACGCACAGTCTGAATGAGTGTGCATCGATTTCTCCTCCCTGCCCAGGCCTCCCGAGGGTATTTGCTTCCTGTGAGGCACTGGCAGAGGCTGCAGGATTCCCGTGAGGTGGTGGGGTCTCCGGGGCAGCCCGGTGCCATTTATCTCCTGGCGTGTCTTCCACTCCTGAGCTCTCTGCACCCTGAAGCCTGAGGAAAGGTCTAAGGGGGTGGCAGCTGGTGGCGGGGAGGGGGAATCAAGCTGACAGGAGCAGGGACTCAGGCCTCCCACCAACAACCTTCAGCCCCTCCAGCCAGATGCTTCTGATGACCTCAGGGGAAGCAAAGAGGAAATTCTGTCCTCCTGAGTGACGTGGACAGATCCACAGTGAGGGCCAAGAGACTGGATTCTAGTTGTAGCTCTGCCATAAGAAGCCGTGTGACCTCAGGCAGTTGGTTTTGCCTCTCTGGGCCACCCCAGAACCCTCTCTTGTGAAATGAGGAAGTGGTACTGAACCATTGGCTTCAGATTTTATGATTCGTGCTTGGCCTTCTGTGGATCATTGTCTGACTTCCTTTGTCCTTCTTTCCAGTGTATTTGGAAGTCCTTCAGAGAGGGCTGGCTGTGAGGGGAGATCACAGGAGAGAAGTGCCGGGCAGTGCTGCCTGCTCTGGGGGAGGGTCCACCCTTGGAGAGAAATAATGTGCCCACTGACACGTTGAAGGCTTCATTTCTAACTGGCCTGCACGGCCCTTTTCACTCAGGGAGGGCTGCCTGTCTCCCCAGTTCCACTAGCCCTCGTGGTGGAATGTCCTTGGACAGGGTTTAGGCACCGGAAGTGCTGTGGACAGGAGCGCCTGGGTCTGATGCTGTTCTCTCTTCCAGGTGAGGAGTTCTACGAAGCCTCACCCTACGAGCCAGTGACCTCCCGCCTCTCGGACATCTTCAGGCTTGCTTCAATCTTCTCAGGTAAGTGGCCCTTGCTGGGAGGTGGCCCTGGAGCTCTGGGCCTGGATGTAGGAGTCCTGGGCTCCCCTGGCTGTGTTCCTCATCAGCATGTCCCTGACTGTCCCTGAACCTGGATTCCTGGTCTGTAAAGAAGGCTACGTGGCTCACCTCCCTCGCTGGTGGTCTGGAGGGCAGCATTTGAGGATCTTGCCTAGCCTGGTGGCTGCCATGGGCAGGTCTTGAATCTGAATCCTGATGTCACTCTCCTGTTTTGTCACCCGTTGTGCCTTGGTTCCTTCATTCCAATTTTCTGCTTTGGAGCTCTTCTCCTTGGTCAAGTTGCTCTACCTCTCTGTGCCTCAGTCTCCTCAGGTGTGAAGTGAGGAGAGTGACAGCACCTACCTGGTTGGACTGTGTTGACGTCTGCGTGAGTGAGGATTGGAAAGTGCTGCAGGGCTTGTGTGAGCATTTAGGAGCTGTTAGGTTGGTACAAGTTAAGCATCCTTAATCCCCAAATCCCAAATCCCAAATCTGAAATGCTCCCAAATCCAAAATTTTTTGAGGACTGACATGATACCACAGTGGAAAATTCCACACTGTCCTCTTGGGCTGGGTCTCAAAGTTCAAGCACACTACAAACAGTGCATACAGTTACTCTCAGGCTGTGTGTATAGATACCTATGAAATGTAAGTGAATTTTGTGTTTGGGTCCCATTCCCAAGACATCTCATTACATAGATGCAGATATTCCAGAATCCAAACAAGGATCTGAAAGCCAAAGCTCTCCTGGCGCTACGCATTTCAGATAAGGGAGACTCACCCATATTATTGAGGTTACTGTTCTCTGGTCTGTTCTGGGTTTTCCCTCCCTGAGGCATCTGTGGCCCTGGGCTGTCCCCCACCCCATGCTGCCCTGGGGAGTAAGAGCCCATGTTGGCTCTAGCTTTGCATCCCAGGCCAGGCCCGGAGCCGATGAGCTTCATGGTTCCTTCTTGGCCTCGTGAACACCTGTCATGTTAGAGACCTGGGCCCAGGGCAGCCTGCCCTGCTCAGGCACTGAGGGGGACTTCCGTTTTGGAGCTGCTTTGGGGGGAGGTGCCTCTTCCAAGAGCCATTTGTGCTTGGATGGCCAGCGCAGGGCTTGTTCTCAGGGGTTTCTGAGGGTCTCTGGGAGCTACAGGCCTCAGGTCTCACAGGAGCTTCTGTAGCTGTCTTTGAAGTCTTCTGAGGTTCTTCTCTCTCTAAACCAGGGTTCTCAACAGTAGCACAGTCAACACTTTGGCCTGACTTGTGTCCTGTGTGCTGGATGTCTAGCATCTTCCCTGGTCTCTACTCAATACAGTAATATGCTCAAGTTGTGGCAACCAAAAACATCTCCAGACATTGCAAATGTCCTGGGGTGGGGACCAGTTACTGCTCCACACTTGTGAGCAGGGGACTGTCCACTGGGATCCTAAACCCTTCAAATGAAGAACTTTCTAGGATAATGTTTCTCAACCCCCTCCCCACATATGACTTCCCTAAGGAGAAAAGCTGATTCTCCCTAGCTAGAGAAATTAAGTACCAAGAAGCAAAATTTTGTTACAGAAGATTGAGTTTTGGGTGACCACAAACCACTATAATATCTACTTTTTTTTTTTGTCTACCCAAGAACAAACCTTGCTCCCTTGAGGTGACAGCCTCTCCCATTGAGAATGCCTGGTCATTGAGAATGATAGAGATGAGGAAGGTATGCATGTCCTTGGTGGGAGAAACCCTGGACCCTTGTGAGAAGTGAGGCACTGGCCTCTATGTTAGTCAGCTCTCCATTACTGTATCGGATACCTGAGATAATCAGCTTATAAAGAGAAAAGGTTTGCTTTGCCTGAGAGTTTTCATTCCATGGTTGGTTAGCCCTGTTGTGTTGAGCCTGTGGTGGCATATCATGGCAGGAGTATGTGGCAGAACAAAGCTACTCACTTTGTGACAGAGGTAAAATCGAGGAAGTGCCTGGATTCCCACAGTCTCCTCCCAGGGCATACCCCCAGGGCCCTAAAGACCTAAAGAGGTCCCTCCTAAAAGTTTCCGCTGCCTCCCACTAGTGTCAAGCTTGGGACCCAGCCTTCTACACATGGGCCTTTGGTGACATTTGAAATTCAAACTAGAGTAGCCAGAGAGTGGGCCTTGGCAGTGCTGGGACGTGGTAGGGAACGGAATGGAGACCTCAAAGCTGGTCAGTTACATGGAGCGCCCTGCCCTCGACTCCCACCATCATAGCCTCCCAGCGGGGTCCCAGCACAAGCTGCCATCTTGGTCTGCCTGTGGGTACTGTGATAGCTCTGGGCTAAGTCTTGCCCATCCTCCGTGATGGACCGATGGAGGTCCTTCTGACTGACATTCTGAGTCTCCTGATTAGCTTTGAATAGGAATCCACCTTGGGTTGGTCCTTTGGGGATTGTTGGCATATATATGCTGTGGTGGGGGGTACCCTGGTTACCCCAAAGGCTCCCAGGTTCCCCTTACCTGTTGCTCAGGTGTGGGCGGGTGCCATTGGGTTCACTCCTATAAGTAAACAACTTTGGCTCCCGGAGTACAGGAGCTCGAGGTCCTCAACCTCAGCCCGGCCCCCGCGGCTTCCCGATTCAACACTGCAGTGTCTTCCTGGCAAAGAGAGTCTTCCCGGAGTGAGGGTGACGCTCTTGGATAAGGGGGCTGCCAGGACAGACGAGGGATGTGCACTCACGGACTCAGCTTCCTGGCACTTGTTGCCCCGAGATAACGGCCCCACAAGCTCTGGGCCTCTGTGCTCTGGGACCACTCCCCACCACGAGGCCCGGGTTTTGGGTACTGTGATGATCCCTGCTCTCCGCCCCTGTTGATTCTTTGGGACCCATAGCAGCCCTAGAGTTGGGTCTGTGGGTGGCTCTGTGTGGGGAGACTTGGGCACAGCTGGGAGGGGAGGCCCTGCCACCAGGAAACTAAGCAGCCCATTGTGGGGAGCACAGAGAAGGGGGATCAGGATCCAGGAGGCTGGGTTGCAGCTCAGTCTCTGCCCCCCCTCACCTGGCAGCCTTGGGCACGTCACTTCCTGGCTCTAGACCTCACGTTTCCTTTCCGGTGATGGAGACCTGAGCTTAGAGCAGTGCTTGCCACACTTTGTCCCTTGAGGGCGTAAAGAAAATGGCAGAGTGGTTGGGTGTACAGACCAGCTCAGAGCTCTGGCCCTCACGGCCCCTGTCTGGCTCCCTCTGGGTCGAGAGATCAGTACCTGGACATGTTTATCACCCACCTGTGGGGAACACACAGACGGCGGGTCTTGCCTGGGTGACCTAAGACCTTGTACTGCTGCTTTGGGTGTATGAAGCTGTGGTCCTGTGGGATTGCAGGGGACCCATCAGGAAGCTCCTCCTGCCTGTAGTCGACTGAGTACTGCCCCCTACTGTCTCTGTGTGGAGAGGTTGGGGGAGGCAAGGTGGACTCTGTGGTCTCCTCTGGGCTCTGTTACCCGCAGCTGGGTACCAGGGATGGAGGCTGTTGTCTCTTTGGGGCCCAATTGCCTATATCTGTTTATCTTCTCCTATCTTCAATTTGGGGCCATGTTTGGGGCCTCCTGGAGTATGTCCTTCTTCATCTCTCACCCTCTTTCTCTTTGGGCTTCTTGGAAAGTCCTACTGGGATTCTTTTGGCAAGGAACTGCCAGGATTCCTGCAATGCCCTTTGCTGCCAGACACCCAGGGCTTGCCCCTCCTCTTTGTGTAATGCCCACCTGGCAGGCCCTGGGTTCAGCCATGGGTTAGCTAGTCCTGAGGCCAAGGTCAGGAAGGACAGTCTGGCTGTGTCCTGACTCACAGTGACAGTGATGTTGGAAGCAACCTCATGTCCTGCCCTCAACTTAAACATGGGAAGGGAGATTTCATGGACAAGAAGTGAGGTTCTTGAGAACATGATCTAGAGTGTTAAATGTGGCACCTGGCACATGGGAACAGGAGCTAGACAGTCCTGGGTGTGAACCCTGGCTTGGCCACTTAGGGGTATGTTAGTCAGCTTTCTGTTGCTGTGACAAAATACCTGAGATAAACAACTTGTGTGGAGGAAAAGTTCATTTGGCTCCCAGAGGTTTTAGTCCATGATCTCCTGGCCCCTTTGCTTTTGGGCTTGTGGTGGCAGAGTGTCACAGTGGAGTTGTGTGGTAGATCAGACGTGCCCACCCCATGGTGGCTGGGTAGAAAAAAAAGAGGAAAGGGCTGGGGTCCTGATGTCCCCTTCAAGGGCACCTCCAGTGGCCTCACTTCCTTCCACGAGGCTCCTTCTCCTAAAGGTTCCATGACTTCCTAATAGTGCCACAGGCTGGTGACCAAGCCTTCAACATTTGAGCCTCTGGAGGACATTTAAGATCCATACTGTGGTAGGGTGTGTGCTCTTGGGCCTTGCTGTGGCCTTTCTCACCAGGGGTGCCTACGTTGTGTGATGGGCGTGTGCCCCTCCCTAGGGTCAGGGCTGGTAGAGGGCGCTCACTGAGAATGGATGCGGCAATGAGCCCGCTGTGTGTTGGAATCTGAACTGGGCTCCACAGCGGTCATGCTCTCAGCCGCATGTGTGCTGTAGAGGTGGGAGTTCATCTGGAGGGACTGGAGGGGTCGATGTTGAAGTTGAGTGACCCTCCTGTCCTCAGGCTGACCCTGTGGCTGACCCTTTGCATATAGCTGGAGAGACAGGAGAGGGTGGAACAAGGCAGAGAAAAAATAAGAGATCCTCAGGTAGAGGAGGTCACCCTGGGAGAAGTTCTACAAAGGTGACCTGGAGCCAGCAGGGGGTGTGGGCCTCTGAGGGGTGCCAGGCTGGGGGTGTCCAGTGCCTCGGCACTTCTTGTCCATGAAATCTCCCTTCCCATGTTTAAGTTGAGGGCAGGACATGAGGTTGCTTCCAACATCACTGTCACCGTGAGTCAGGACACAGCCAGACTGTCCTTCCTGACCTTGGCCTCAGGACTAGCTAACCCATGGCTGAACCCAGGGCCTGCCAGGTGGGCATTATGCATTATG